GCTAGCCTATACCAGTTGGTTGGGATTGATTGTCAGTTCAGATGCAAAATATTGAAAGCAAAAGGTTATACACCATAGATTAATTGGGTACCACGCATATATAAGATAGCCGAGTCGGTTTAGAGTTAGTGTTAGGGTTAGGGATAGGGTTTCTAGGTTGTCCACCGGACAATGTCTCAGATTGGTTAGGTTGTCTCGGACAACCGGACAACGCTTATTTCGAGCACTGATATATATACAGAATACTATATACATATGTTCATGGGGCTAATATTGGGAGTGATTATGAGATCAGACTGATCAACTGCAAACCAATAATGCACTCAATAATACCATTAAGTGAATTGATAATTACACCCGTAGTGTGTTTGTAGCAGACCAGACATGATTGAGATTGATCAAAGGGTGGACAACAGAGCACATATGCTTTTCACACCTGATTAGATCCAATGGCTGCTCTTTGTACCAGCTCTTCGCACTTGCCCATATCGAATATAGCAGCTGTAAAAAAATAACAGGTCAATAACATGTACACTGCAATAGTCAGCTTTTAAAATACCCAAACATATTAACGTGGATAAAAATCCCAGATGCATCCGATCTGTGAGCCTGTCCATGTTGAGAAAATTCCTTTCGCTCATTTTGAGACTCCTACTATAACTGCTTGACAAAACTCAAAAGTATTAAGAAAGTAACACGTGATATGAGAACGTATATAGTACTACCACACGTCTGTACACAATTATCAGCATCATCATACGTACAGACAGTATAGTTGACACCCCACACAAGTGTATGAATTAACAAGTGCTGCAGAGCGACAGGGCTCATCTGGTGTCTGGTGTTCTGCTGATAAATTCATTTGTGTATAGCAAGACGTCCTATACATATGTTCATTTCTAACCCAAAAAACAACACTTCAAACTAGTGTAATAAAATCGGCGGGCCGCTATCAAAGGCATCGTTGCATCGGATGATCGGTCAGCCAAAGCATTGCAGCAATGGCAGCTGTCAGTGTGACGATGGATTGCAAAAAACAGGAGCGAATAATTACCATATTATTACTATACATAACGTGCGTTCTATGGTGTCAGGTAATAAGGTACATTAAACCTCTTGCGAGGCACATCTGGTTCGTTAAAAAATAGCTCAATGGTTGATACAACCAGAGCAGCTCGTGCAAGATTAAAATTTACAGCAATACGATATAGCAAATATCTGTAAACTAATTTCAGTACAAGGTAGGCCAGTGATTAGTGGACCGAATATGCTCAAGAACGTACACACTTGCGTCTATATTGGTGCCAAAATTTGATGAGAAAATTAAGTCTGGGAAATCCGCAGCCTCACTCCTGGGTGAGTGCTATTTGAGTGCTAGTGAC